GTTGTTACTTTGCAGTAGGTTTGGCAATAATGCTAACAGATTGAAGCTGCTCTTCTTATAAGAATTCTTCTTATAAACCATATCTTTAGCCTTCTGAATCTGTATTGTAATCTTCTTCACTTTGCACATGTCTTTTAAGACAATCTTTGCAAGTAGTTTCTTGGTTACAATCTGAAGCTTTGTGAAGATAAGTTGCACATTCTCATCTTCTCTCTTCTCTTTCTGATTAAGAGAAACTTGAGCTGTCAGTTTCAACTTTTCTGTAGTCTCTTGCTTCTTTACAAGTATCACTCTCAGTTAGTTTGCAGTCTCACAACTCTCTGTATCATCTAGACCAGTCTTCTTAGTATAATCAGATCTTTGTGAGAGTCCATCTGCTGGATTCTTGGTTCCTTTCATATGGTTAACTGTGAACCAAAAGACTGTCAGTCTTTGTATCCAGTGAACCTGTCTTCACAAGAGATCTTGAGTAGTCTGGAAATAGTGCAAGCTATTATAGTTTGTAAGAACTTTAACTGGTGTTCACAAGTCTTTCAACCAGCAGTACTAATATCTAAATGACTTCACAATCACAAGCAGTTCTTGATCATGAATGTTATAATTCATCTCTGCAGGTTGCATCTTCTGCAAATAAAACTCAACTGGAACTCAAATGCTATTCTTCACCAGCTGTAATAGAATACCACACACTGTGAAGCCAGATACATCTGTTTCCAGTCTGGTCTTCTGTTCTATATCAAAATGGTGAAGCATAACAGCTTTTGTAAATACCCTTCTCAGACCTATAAAGACTTTGTGACCTTTCTTAGTCATGAAAGTATTAGTCTCTCTTCTCATCTCTCTTTATGTATGCTTGCTTAGCTTTACTTCTCCTCCCTTTAAGAGAGCAGTCAGGCCACAGGCTATCTTAGAGAATCTTAAAATGAAGTGCCTGTAAAAGTTTGTGAATTCTAAGAAGATCTGAATCTCTTTCTTACTGATTGGCTCTGGCCAGTCAAGAATAGTGTCCATACAGCTCTTCTCCATAAGAATACTCTCTGATGTTATGATATACTCAAAATAATCAATCTTATGAGTATTGAACTTGCACTTTACCAGCTTGCAATAAAGGCTTGCATTCTTGAGTACCTTAAGTATCAATTTCACATGCTCCTCATGGTCTTTCTTGTGAGCCAAGTACATGATCACATCATCAAGATAGACCACTGTAAACACATCCAGATATTTGCTAAGTATCTTTATGATGTACAATTAGAAGGCTGCCAGTGCATTTGCAAGTTCAAAAAGCACTATCAAGTACTTAAATAGCTTCTATAAAGTCTGAAATGCAGTCTTCCACTTATTTCTTTTGTGAATTCTCAATCTATAATAGGCATTCTTGACATCCAACTAAGTGAATATTGCAGCTTCTGCAAGCTTATACAACACATCTTCAATCAGTAGTAGAGAATATCTATTCTTGACTGTTTTTGAATTCAGATTGTAATAGTCCACACACATTCTTAGTCTGCCATTTTTCTTGAACATGAACAGAATGGGTGCTCTTCTGAATGACTTGAAAGTGCAGATGAACTCATGAGTTAGAGCACTGCTCAGATATTTATGAAGAGTCTCTTGTTCAGCTTGTGAAGGTCTGTATGTTCTTCTAAATTCTGGCTGCTTCTCTGACTCAAGATCTATAGCCAAATTATCTTTATAGTGGCAGCTTCCAAGCTCTCTTGTTACTAAACACTTCCATAAGTTTACAGTAGACTTCCAGTATCTGGAGATCTAGATCTGCTATCACCACCTGTTCTGATTTACAGAGAATTATCATATAGATGAGCTTCTCTCTCTCTACTAGCTTCAAGAGATTAACTGGTTTAACCTTTACAAGCAGGTCATAACATACAGTTTGGAACTCTAGCCTTAGTTCTCTGAAATACATCTTGAGATTATGTTGCTACAGCTAGCTCAAACCCACTAGCATCTTATTTTTTATGTTTGTGACCATCACTTGTTTATGAAATAAGTGCCAGTTTTTCTGAGAGTTACAGACTTTAAAGAATATATTTGTAATCCCTTCTGTAAAAGTAACATTCTCATAATTTATAGCAGTTTCAATCTCTATAGACATCTTGTGCACCTCTAGTGCTAGCTTTGTGGCCAATTGTGAACTAATCACTAGAGATTGACAACCAGAGTCTATTAGTGCTGACCAGATGATACTTCTGTTAGTTAGGCTTTGTGTGCCTAGAATAATGAGGGGGAGAGCAAGAAGACTTTTCTTGAACAACTTTATTATATTAATTCTATCTACTTGCAGCCTCTTAATTTTCTATTTGCTACTCTTCTTCTTGAGACAGTCTTTTGTGAGATGCCTCTTTTGGCCACACTCAAAGCCCTTCTCTTCTTTTCTTAAAGCTTTATGATTCTTGATAAGATCTTTCCCCATCTTCTGAGCAGATCTCTAGAATTGACTTCTCTTATCTGTTTGTGATCTTGAGTCATCAGTCTTCATACCTCTGTAAGCACTTCTAACTGAATTGGTAGACTTTGCATGTGAGACACTCTTTTCAAGAGCTGTTGTCATACTTGATTGGAGTTGGGTAGTCAGTACTACTATCTCATTAATATTATCTGGTATTTCCAGCTGTTCATCTAGTTTAGCTTGCATGAGCTCATTCAAGTTCTTTATGTATAGATTCTTCTTCATTTTTTTAAAGCTTTCAAATTCTTCACCAATTTCTGTTGCAAGCTCTAGAAATTATTGGTAGTAAACTTGGTCAGTTTCATTCAAACTCTTGTGAAGATTAAAGATTACTTATTAAAAGTTTTATGTGTAGTTTGCTGAATTTTCTAGCCTTGCATGTAGGAATTTCTTGAGATCATTTCACTTATTCTTCAATGGGTTGTTTTCATGATAAATCTTCCAGAGATCTTTTTTAATGTAATCAAGTCTTATAAGAGCATACATGAGAATCTTCTCATCATTCAATTTGCTTGCATCACAAGTGAATTCAATACTGGAGATGAACTGCTGATATTTTGTATAGAAGCTAGTCTGATAGAGCTTTGTGTATTATGGTGGTCTCAAGACTGATGGATGCTTTGTAGATGTTGGGTTGGAGGTGGCCATATTGAAAGATTCACTTTGTGAGTGCTTTTGGGTGGCCTGGAGAGTATTCAACTTTTCTTGCCATTTTGTCATTCTCTTTAGTAGTTTGGTTTTCTTGTGAAGTTGTTGAATCATCAGCATGCCATCTGTTCTCCATCATTTTCTTGTTAATGAGCTTGAACTCACATTGCTTGGTCTTTATAAGATTCAGAAGAACTGGACAGATGACAATAATCTGATTTATGCATGACTTCTTGAAAAAAATCTGACTAAAAAGCTCAGATTTAGATCCTTGACTGTACTTCTTTGATTTCTGCAGACTTTTTATGTAGCTGTCTTTTAGTTTTTGAATTTTATGCTGCTTATACTGCTGGAGCTCATCTCTGATCTTGAGCTCTAGGCTGCAGAGAGCATCATAATGGTGATTGCAGGGCAGCTTTATAATAGATTTGTTGAACCAACTTGTCTTGATAATGTGATGAATTATCAGACACTCAAGCATCTGACCAAACTGATGTGCTGCTGACTGGAACTTGATCTATTCTACTCTAGACAGCTGCTTCTTGCTGATTAGTAACTGCACTCTGGCTGAGAGAGTCTTTCATTAATTGGATTTGGCAAATTGCAGTCTGGTATTATTATTTCATTTGTCAGAGACCAGTATTGTTATTCAGAAGAGCATGTTGGTCAGTTCTTTATTGTATGGTGTTCTGGAGAGCAGTCAGATGACTGGAGTGTAGTCTTGCTTTTCTGTAGCTGTATTAATCTCTTGAAAGTGCCTGATAATCTTGCTGTCAAAGCTCTTCTTCTGGTAGTATTCATCTTGAATTATGGCTTGCTATTGCAATTACTGAGCATCTTGTTTCTAAATATTATGAAGAAGTATCATCATACAGCTGGAGAATGAGTTCAGTATAATAAGAAATATGTGCTGATAATTCTGCTGAGAATTCAGATCATGTTATCTCAGTATTGTATGCTGTATAATTTGTATGAATGCATGGCTCAAGTTGCCAATCTTTATGAAAGTCAAGTCTTCATAACTAATAAAGGGATTCAGTTTCAGACAGTTCTCTGAGTTACAGAGAATAGAGTTAGCCCACTTTCTTATCCAGAAGAGAAGAAGATCTTTAGACACTACTATCAGTATTGCATCTTGCAGTAGTTAACTCAGATGGTGTGCAGTCATCTTATCTGGAATACAGTCATACAGAATGAGAAACATATTCTAAGAGAGACATCTTAAATAATACTACTTTAAACTCTCATGTTCTTCTTCTGTATTCATGACTGCAGAAAGATGGTTGTTGATTATTGCAGAATTCTTACAGTACTGTTTGATGTGCAGACAGTTGTAGATAATTCAGATACTCAGAACAAAGTATAATATCATCTTTATGATTTTGTCAATTTCCATCTTATCAGTAATGAATTCATCTTGCTCTAAGTCTTGATTCTTGAGCAGCATTTAGAATATGCAGTAAAGCTAGTGAAGTAAAGTATCTTGCAGCATGCTACAGATAAGAATCTTTCTGATTAAGTCTGTACTGTCATTTTCATTCTGCAGGAGCATGAATGTAAGAATTCACCCGCGAACCCCTTACACAGATCAACAATACCTGCAAGGGCCCAGGGCCTCAGCTTGCAAGCTGTTGGGGGTACATGTGTCCTCACAAGACACTAAGTCACATGCTTGCAAACACACATAAAAGATCACCACTGCACAAACCTCTTGTTAGAAGCCAGTGGCAATCTTGTCTACAAGTCATACATAGCTGCCAATACCAGATCTTTTATCTTGTGTACTCTTTTCTACATACAATTCCTTCTATAGATTTATTGTCATACTGATTCACACATATAATTTTCACATTTTACCACTCTTCTTTGGTGATATCTGACAATGGTATCAACACAAAGAAGCCGACCTCCTGAAGCTTGTGAACCTGGGACACCAGCAGAAAATCTACCCAAAGAACAAACTCAAGTTTGTGAGAAGATGATAAATCTTGAAATCATCTCAGCTCTCTCAATCATGGATGAAATCAAAACTAGCATCACAATCTCAGAGAGAGAGTTTATCTTAGCATCAAGAGATATTATATATTCATGCAATCAATACTCTGATTAATTTCAGCTTCAAGTATTGTGTAATTCAACATATTCTGCAGAACATAGAGAGAGACTATTATAAGTATTTAGAAAAGATTATTATTCTGACAGAATTCTTCTGTATAATTTATATACTTGAAATGATAGATTGCTGTATTCTCTTTTCTTGTGTTTTCTTTTCAGCTAACTTTTCATACAGTAGCTGCAGAAGCAAGATTACTGTATTATAGCAGTCTATAGTAGTATGAGTGTTGAGAACTGAGACATGTGCATCAATATCTTTAATTAGAATTTGCTACTATCTGAAGATGAGACTGATGCCAGTCCAGGCATTCTGATCAGTACTCTGGAGATTCTAGATATAGATTATATCTGTATTCATATCTTTCAACTTATTCTGCTAAGCCTGAGCTGATTAGAGAGAGATGAGATCCAGAGCAAGATATACATCCACCACTACAAACAAATAAACAGAGCTATATACATTTATCATCTGATGTGTAGAGATATTCAGATTAAAAGCAATATTCTTGACCAGCAGATAATACAGAAGAGTTTCAATAAACTAATAATATTACTGCAGAGAGAGACTGATATAGTTCAAGATATAATTAATCTGGATACAGTATAAGATCTGGTGTGACTGTATGATCATGAAATTTAAAAAGAAACATCTAAGAATTATACAGTACTTTCATCAAGATATCTGAATATTATTAGAGATATATGAAACAATCATAACTGTTTGTTCTAGATGATTCATTCTGCAGAGTTGAATAGATCAGTAGTTAGATTTAATTAAAGCAATTTCAGCTGAAAGCTATTCATTATATCTTTTACTATAGTTATGTTGATACTAAGTACTCAGCAGTTAAATACATTAATAAGTCTTCAGTCTAGTGATGATGCAACTAGCTAATATTAGTATTCTACCAAATTTGTGCCAGCATATTCTCTGATGCTATCAACTATTAGTATGGTGCCTGTGGCCTTTTATCTAAGAAGGAGAATCCTCTCACCCAGAGATGTATATAATATATAAAGTGGTATCTGGTTCTGGAATTTCCTGTTCTGATTCTGGATTCCTGTCCCAATTTCTGTCTCAAGAATAGAATTGGGTTAAAGCTCAGCTCAATAAAATAGAACTGGATTGTTTAACAGCATATTGGAATGGTTCCATGAAAGCTGGAATTAGAATGAGACTGGAACTGGAATCAAAATCTAGCTAATAGAATGATTTCAGAATCTGGCTATGACAAAATAAAATAAGATCAGGATTTCAATATTATATATAGGACAGGACCAGTAAAGTGTAAAATGAAACTGGAAATTCTGGTTCTATTTGTATTATTAAAAGATAATAAAATTTGATAATGATTTTAACATAATTTTATTAATTTATTTAACTTTAGAAAAGTACTGAAATTTGATACTGCTCTTTATATAATTAGATTATATTGCAAGCTATTAGACTTTAGCTACTTGAATCTATCTATTAATAATATTAATGTATTTTCTGTTTCTTGTCTAAATTAAGTACTGAATTTAGGAGGCTTGCAATCTCCTTTCATACAATCTCTGAAGTATCTTGATTATCTTGATTATCTTGAATAACTTTCTTGACCAATCTTTCATATAATATAAGTGCTTTATTTAGTGTATATATCTTGTCTTCATGTTTAAGTAGCATGATCTTCTTGATTGTAGATGCATGAAGCTGTAATTATTGATAATAATATGTATTTCAAGCAATATTGAAAATCTGTTCTACTTTAATTTCTGTTAAAGATACAGCCAGAATATCTCTTGCCATCTGAGTAACAGTTAAAAAATCAGACTCTAGCATCCTCCACTATTCCAGAATTAGAGCTTGAGATAATATCAAATTCTTATCATTTAAATATTGCTATATTTCATTTTGGAAATTTGCTTATCTTTAATGAAATCTCTCAAAAATCATTTGCTCAATATTCTAAAGAAGTTAGCAGAGAGAAAATCAGAATAATACTTATAATAAACATATATCATTCATATCAAGTATTACTTTTCTTGACTATTTATATTTCTTATAATACTTTTTGTAAAACCTTAAAATATATTATTGATATATTTTACACTTATTACTGATTCAATTCTCTGAATTATATGCTCTTATGCAGTATAATAAATAGAGAGCAGTAGCTACAGCTAGCAGCTTACTTTTTGAATGCTCAGTATTATTATAGTATTTCTGGAATTTCAAGCTAGCAGCTTTGATAGCTTCTTTAATATTCTCTCTTGTTATTAACTGTCAGGCCTTGTTCTTCTCTTTTTCTAAATACTGGAAAAGATGATTGTAGATTGCTCATACTAAATAAATTGTTGAATCTGTTATTTTGAACAGTATTTTGATAAATTGACTGAATGACTGCAACAGTTTAATTATAACTCTATCTGCTTTCAGTCATAATCTAATAAGTGAAGTCTTTAATATTTTGGTAATAAGTTCTGAATTCATGAGTCTACAGCTTGTTAAAGCAACAAAACATGAATACAGATCTTATAAATGAAATTTCATCTTGTGCAAATATCTTAAATCATCTTGTGCTGGTTCTCTTGTTAATATTGTTGAAAATATGCAGTAAGTTAAGAGAAGATATTGATTATATTAACAACAAGATAAATCTATTATTAAGTAAAGATTAGTAAATCAACTCAAGTATATCAGGACTGTTATCAAATTTCATTATCTTTTTAAGAGTATTTGTAAATGTGTTTGTTAATACTAGATTATCAGTAATTAAGCTCTTATTAAAGATAGTGGGTAGAGTATTATTGTCTGGCTGAATCTTGAGATTGCAAACCAGCTCTTAAACTACAAGTTGAATTACATAAGCAAGACAGAGTATTGTTTCACTGTCTGTATTTCAATTAGTTGTCTTATTTAACTGCTGCAATACTGATCTTAACTGATGTGTAAAATGTGCTTGCATGATATTATTATTTAATATATTGTCACTTGTAATTGCAAGAAGATTGCTCTCAAGTCTTCATACTGCTAATAATTATTAAAGAATCTCCATTATATTCTTGTCAGTATAAGTACTCTCTAAACTTTTAAAATTCAGTAAATACTTATGATACTCCTAATTCTTTATAATATAATAACTATTAATTGCTATAAAGACAAGATTATTAGAACTTGTTTAATTATTTACTATCAGAGATATCTTGATTATTGAGCTATAGTTAAAGAGAAGATTTTAGAATAGCTAATTGTATATATTATTTATGATCTGATATAATATTTCTCATGTAAGTATCTATAATACTATTGCAGAATTGAGTATAGTTATTAATATACAGAATGCTAAATTCTTGATAGCATAAAATAAGAGATTTAAGAATATTAATGTTCACACAAGCTACTGAAGAAAATTATCTTGATTGCATTTGAAAACAGACAGATCTGAATCTGTTTGAGAATGCTTTAAAAACTATTGCTAAGACACCAGAACTGTTACTAAAATTCATTATATTTGGAAAATTAGAATCCATAATCTATCAGCATATTAACCAGAGTGTTATCCTGTCTGTTATCAGTTTTTGTACAATCTTTACTGATTAAATGCTTTTTCAGACCACTTGTACTGTTTTGAGAAAAGCTTGAATAACTAAGAAAGATTTAACAATGCTTGCAAATTACTTCTGAAGTGCTTTTAGAATACTCTGCCATCTGATCAAATTTTGATCAAAAATCAGAATAATATTACTTTATCTTTCAGTTGAGGTCATCATGATTCTTATTCTTAATTAACTGAGCAGCTTAAGTAGTTAATTATTAAGTAACAAATAACTTATAATACTGCTCCTTTTACAATACAAATTATTTTTTTTCATGTTAAACTATAGTCAATTCTGAAGAAATTTCTGTAGATTTTGCTTGTTTGCTGGCTACAGTCATTTAATTAGATTTTTTTTTTTCACAATTAAATTGATTTTTCTCTGAGTTTTGTCTTAGTCAAAAAAGTTATAAAATTTGGTAACAGTTCAAGCAAAATTTGATAATCTTTAGCTAGTTAGACTCATTCTACTCTGCACAGTAACCAACTACAAAATTATCATCATCTACAAAATAGAACATTCTTCTTCAGAAAAATAAAACATTTTGTTAATTTAATGATATCTCATTCTCAAATTGATATAAAAAAAAACTAAAAACCTAACTTTCTTCTCTAGATATTAATAATTAAATTATTATTCTTCTATCATTCTTCTTATTGTTCTTATCAGAGAATATTACCATCTCAAAATCATCTTTCTTTATTTTCTCTAAGACAGACAGACTATTGTTATCTTCAATTGGACTTTGTAATTAATTCAGAAATTCTCTCATCTTCTTCTTAATTCTCTCTCTTGATACACTGACTGCAGCAAGATAATCATGATTATAGTTCATAATCTTGATTTCAAGCTTAACTATTATTTGTTGAAACCAGGCCTGCTTATATACAGCAATAGAATGCTGTAGCTGGCTTGTTTTAGCTAAATATGTCAGAACTATTATCAAATTTTATTACTTTTAAATTCTATCTTCTTGTTCTGCTGAGCTTCATTCTTGATCTCTGTAGCCTTTTCTTGATAATGCTTCTTCTCCTGTTCTTTCTTCTTTTGCTAAGATATCATAAGCTGATGCTTATAATACTTCTTTAACTTGCTCTTAACAAATTACTTGACCATCAACTGTTCAATAGCTTTATTCTCAATTGTCTTGCAATTCTTCTTGCTGCTATTCTGCCTGCAATAAATGTTAATATGATTTAAGATAGTGCACCACTAAACAAGTCAAATCTTGCCAAATGCTCTACGCAACAAATTTATTAAATATCTCAACAACCAGATCTTTATTATTAAATAGCTATTCAATATTAAATGAATGTGTTCTTTGAAGCATAGAAATTACTGTAGTTAGAAAAATAAACAGGTGGACAGCCTAATATTGTGGCCAGAGTGAGAGATTTGGGAGATAGATAGAAAAGAATTCAAAGGAATGTCAACAGTAGATTTCTTGACTTGAGAGCCTAATATCTTGCTAGAGAGGCTTGTAGAGCTCTTACTTCCCCTTTTGGAAGATTGTATAGACTCTCTGTAATGAGACTCTTTAGTAGGGGAGTCCTTCTGATAGTGCTTTGCAGCTGGTGCTTGAAGCCCTGACTGCCAGCATTTAGCAGCACATTCAATCATCTGTTTTTCCTTCTCTGCTAGTTGTAAACCCTTCTTCTCCTTATAAGCAACATGTTGTGCCTCTTTTTGTCTAGCATGTTTGATTTTTTCAGTCTCTTGTTGCTTACAGGTCTTTTTACAGGTATCCTCCTGTTCAATCTATCTTTCTTCAACATCTCTGGCAGCCTGCTTCTTTTGAAGCTCCTGTTGAAGCTTTACCTCTTGTGTTTGAGCAATTTTATCAGCTTTTTCAGCCTTTATTTCATCCAGACGCTTGTGTGCCTTAAGAACTTTTGTTGAAGACCAGAACTGTGCAAAAAATTCAGCATTGCTCCAACCATTTATTGAAGCTGCACAGTAGGCCCATTTGCTTCCATCATAATCATCTAGCCATATATCCTGGAGATCTCACAATTCACCCTGGTAAATAAGAGCTGGAGATAGTGTAATTCCTTCAGCAGAGACTGAACAGAGCAATGAGAGAAATTCCTGACTACCATTCTGGGTGATGGCATTCTTTCTAGCTCATAGGGCTTCAATAGAGACTAATTACTTTGAGGCATGGCAGGAGCCTAGAAGGAATCCTTTTTCATCAAAGTTGTAGATATTTGAGAGCTCAAGATTATATTGATTGATTTTCTGCTCCAACTGTAAGTAGTCAACTAGTTAGCCAGTGTCAATAACTGCAATTGCAATTAATCAAATAAATCATCAAATTACAAGCATATAGAAGTGCTTAAAGCACTGATAGTTATCTGCTACCTGCCTATTTTGATCAATTGCTTTGAGATAAATGCATTTGATCTTTGTTATTATGCCACTCACAAAATTAATTAATCCAGTTGATTCCAACATTTCTTCTGTCATCTCTTGTACAATATTTCATAGGATCTGAGGTGTAATGGCAAGGCCACAGCTAGGGAGCTTGTTTATATAATTCAGAAGCTCTGTCCCCTGTATATCAGAGAGCTTTTTCTTATATCAGGAGACTGCTTCATCCTGAGCAAGTTGCAAGCCTTTATGCTATTAGCACAGGGTCTCTTGATTGACTGAGTACTTTTTTGTAGTTGCAGTGTAATTTGGGGCCTCTTGCAATTCAAGATCTTCCATTGCAAGCCTAATTAAAGTGTTGTTGACCATGTTGTTGCATATTGAATGTTGAATGTTGAAGGAATTTGGTGGTGGAAAATTTGGCTTGTTTAGTGGTGTGGCTTGTTTAGTGGTGTGGCTTGTTTAGTGGTGTGGCTTGTTTAGTGGTGAACTACCTTAATGCAAACCACTGAGACTGTATACCACTTATATTTGACTCAGATTCTCTTCAGCATGTTATAGTGTATCTTGTGATCTGTCTCTTCTATCTTGAATATATCTTTTTAATAGTTTTCTAAGATCTGGTGATGCTACTGTGCTGCACAGGTCTTCTCTCTTATTGAATATTATTTTGATCCCATTTTCATGATTGTATGTGATGAGTTGAATTAGAGGCACTATATGATGAAATTATAAAGTGTATTAACCAACTACTTGTATAGAATGATTACTATATACATTGTTTACATTCTATAAGCATGTTGCTATAGGCAAGCTCCATATGTTGTTGCTATGCTGGCTATAGAATAATAGAAATATGGAGTATATTGATCTAGTACTTGTATAGAATAATTATTATACATATTATTTACATTCTATAAACATGTTGCTATAGGCAAGCTTAATGTATTGTTGCTATACTGACTGTAGAATAATAACATAAGATTAGTCTCTCTTTTCTTGTTTTTCTCTTTCTCTTCTTCTTCTTTTTCTTCAGAACTACTATTAATAATTCTTCTCTCTCTCTAATTATTTACTGTCCTGCAATACCTCTGTATAAGAATCTGCACTGCAACAAAATAGATTATATTAAGAGATGAGTGCTTGCAGAATACTGCTCTGATACATATTATTTACTGACAAGATATTAGTTTTTCTTGTACATGTTCATTTCATATAGCTGGAGAGAAGTGGCACAAGACTGTATTAAAAGAATGAGCCCTGAAGAAGAGTAATTAGTGTAAAGCTAATAAAAATATTAATCTGACTAACTTTGATCAGAAGAACTTCTGCTCCTGCTGCTCTATTCATAATTAGAAGTCCAGCACTTGTATGTTAAAAAGTAATAATTTTTGGTAATGGTCTTGATGCTAATTCATGAAATAGATATTATTAAGAAGATTCACTACTTTCAGAGCTTTACAGAGCTAATTCTTTCAGTAGTTCTGTTCCAGTAATTAATTTGAAAAATTACTTTATTCTGTTATCAAGAACATGAATATTACTGACAATATTCTATCATTAAGTTACTTCAGAAGACTGCTGAAGTAATTTTGTGCACTTTATTTAAGTATAAGTCATTATTAACAATAACACTAACAATTATACTAAGTAATATAGGCTCTGTTATGGCAATGGTGCACTGTAAGTGCATTACAGTCAATACTAACAACATGAAGCTTGTTTTTAATATCAGTACCATGACTGAATTGAATTATTTTAATCTGATTAATGTGTCTGATTGTTCTGCTTCTGCTGTTCCTGCTTCTGTCACTATTATTTACTGTCTGTATTCTGGTTCTGCTCCACTAACTACTGCTGCTACTCCACTATTACTGTTACTGCTTATTACTGTCTCTCTGTCTTTCTTTAGTACTGACAGAATCTTTATCTGTCAAATAATGAATATTAGAGCTCCTGTCCAGTTCACAAAGCTGATTCTGGAGGAGCAGGAGAAGAAGAAGAAGAAGAAGAAGAAAAAAAAGAAGAGAAAGAAGAAGAAGAAGAGAGAGAAGAAGAAAGAAAAAGAGAATTATGATGATAATAAGAATAATGATAATAATGAGAATAATAACAATAATAATAATAATAAACTTGCTATTTAGACAGTTTCTAGTTATTTACTAGCTTCAGTTATTACTTAGTTTTAATACTTTGTTTTTTTCTTTTACAATCAAATTAATTTTTCTAAGAGTTCTGCCTTCATCAAAAAAATAATGAAATTTAATAATGATTTCACACAAAATTTGACCAGTTTGACTCTTGACATAATAGGGCTGGAAAATCTGATCCCATTCTGGTCCCACTGTGGATCCAGTCAGGATAAAAAATGGAAGTCTACCTTCTCTGCTGGAATAGAACATGGGACATAATTTTCTATTTGAGAATAGGACTGGGAAATAATTTATGAAATAAGAATGATAATAGAATCTCAAGCTCTTGAGTGGAATGAAACATGAGACTGAGATTTCATATTTGAGATTCTGGCTGTTTCTAAATTTGGGACCAGAACAAGCTTCAATGGGAAATGAGATCCCATTCTGATTCTGAATACCAGCCTAAAGGCCACATACATCTACCATCTGGTGTGCAGAGATGTTCAGATCAAAAGTAATATTCTTGACCAGCAGATAATACAGAAGAATTTCAATGAACTGATAATGTTACTGCAGAGAGAGGCTGACATAGTTCAAGACATAATTAATCTGGATACAGTATAAGGCCTGGTGTAGCTGTATGGCCATGAAATTTAAAAAGAAACACTCAAAAATCATGCAGCACTTTTATCAAGATGTCTGAATATTATTAGAGATATATGAAACAACCATGACTGTTTGTTCTAGATGATTTATTCTGCAGAGTTAAATAGATTAGTAGTTAGATTTAATTAAAGCAATTTCAGCTGAAAGCCATTGATCATATCTTTCACTATAGTCATATTGATACTGAATACTCAGTAGTTAAATGCACTAATGAGTCTTCAGCCTGGTAATAGTGTAACCAGCTAATATTAGTATTCTACTAAATTTGTGTCAGCATATGCTCTGATGTTATCAATCATTAATATAGTACCTGTAGCCTTTTATCTAAGAAAAAGAATTCTCTCATTCAGAGATGTATATAATATATAGAGTGATATCCAGTTCCAGGATTTTCTGTTCTAGTTCTGAATTCCTGTTCTAATTTCTGTTCCAAGAACAGGATTGGGTTGAAGCTTAGCTCAACAGAATGAGACTGAATTATTTAACAGCATATTGGGACAGTTCCATGGAAGCTGAAATCAGAATAGAATTGGAACTGGAATCAAAATCTAGCTAATAGAATGGTTCTGGAACCTGGCCATAACAAAATGAGATAGAACTTGAATTTCAATATTGTATATGGGACAGAACCAGTAAAGTGTAGAATGAGACTGAAAATTCTGATCCTATTTGTGTTATTAAAAGATAATAAAATTTGGTAACAGTTCTAACATAATTTTATCAATTTATTTAACTTTAGAAAAGTAATGAAATTTAGTAATGCTCTTTACATAATTAGATTATATTGCAAGTTATTAGACTTTAGCTACTTGAGTATCTATTAATAATATTAACATATTTTCTGTTTCTTGTCTGAATTAAGTAGTGAATTTAGCAGGCTTGCAATCTCTTTCTGTACAATCTCTGGAGTATCTTGATTCTCTTGATTATCTTGAATGATTTTCTTGATCAACTTCTTATATGATATGAGTGCTTCATTCAGCATATATATCTTGTCTCCATGTTTAAGTAGCATGATCTTCTTAATTATAGATGTATGGAGCTGTAATTATTGATAATAATATGTATTCTGAGCAATATTAAAAATCTGTTCTACTCTAACTTCTGTTAAAGATACAGCCAGGATATCTCTTGTCATTTAAGCAACAGTTAAAAAATCAGACTCTAGCATTCTCTACTGTTCCAGAATTGAAGCTTGAAATAATATTAAATTTTTATCATTTAAATATTGCTGTATTTTATTTTGGAAATTTGCTTGTCTTTAATAGGGTCTCTCACAAATCATTTGCTTAATATTCTAAAGAAGTTAGTAGAGAGAAAATCAGAATAATACTTATAACAATTATACATCATTCATATCAAGTATTACTTCTCTTGACTGTTTATATTTCTTATAATGCTTTTTGTAAAACCTCAAAATATATTATTGATATGTTTCATGCTTGTCACTGGTCCAATTCTCTGAATCATATACTCTCATATAATATAATAAATGAAGGGCAGCAGCTACAGCTAGCAGCTCACTTTTTGAATTCTCAGTATTACTATAGTATTTCTAGAATTTCAAGCTGGCAGCTTTGATAGCTTATTTAATGTTCTCTCTTATTGTTAACTATTAGATCTTGTTCTTCTCTCTTTTTAAATGCTGGAAAAGATGATTATAGATTACCTATATTAGATAAATTATTGAATCTGTTGTTTGAATAGTATCTTGATAAATTGACTAAATGACTGCAACAGTTCAACTATATACTTTATCTGCTTTCAGTCATGATTTAATAAGTAAAGTCTTTAATATTTTAGTGATAAGTTTTGAATTTATAAGTCTACAGCTTGTTAAAGCAACAAGATACAAATATATATCTTATAGATAAAATTTCATCTTGTGCAAACATTTTGAATCATCTTGTGCTGATTCTCTTATTAATATTCTTGGAAATGTGCAGCAAGTTAAGAGAAGATATTGATTATATTAAAAACAAGATGAATTTATTATTAAGTAAAGATTAGTAAATTAACTTAAGTATATCAAGACTGTTACTAAATTTCATCATCTTTCTAAGAGTATTTGCAAATGTATTTGTTGATGCTAGATCATCAGTAATTAAGCTCTTATTAAAGATAGTGAATAGAGCATTATTATCTGGCTGAATCTTGAGATTGCAAACCAGCTCTCAAATCACAAGTTAAATCATATAAGCAAGACAGAGTATTGTTTTATTGTCTGCATTTCAATCAGTTGTCTTGTTCAACTACTCTAATGCTAGCCTTAACTGATGTATAAGATGTACTTGCATGATATTATTATTTGATGCATTGTTACTTGTAATTACAAGGAGATTGCTCTCAAGTCTTCATGCTGCTAATAATTGTTGAAGAATCTCTATCATATTCTTGCTAGTATAAGCAGTTTCTAAACTTTTCAAATCCAGTAAATACTTATAGTACTCTTAATTCTCTGTAATATAATAATCATTAATTATCATAAAGAAAAGATTATTGGGACTTGTTCAATTATTCACTATTAGAGATATCTTAATTGTTGAATTATAATTAAAGAGAAAATTTTAAAATAGCTGATTATACATATTATTTATAATCTGATATAATATTTCTTGTGTAAATATCTGTAATGCCATTGTTGAATTAAGCATGATTATTAAGATGTGAAATGCTGAATTCTTGATAGCATAAAATAAGAGATTCAAGAATATTAATATTTGCACAAGCTGCTGAAGAAAATTGTCTTAATTATATTTAGGAACAGACAGATCTGAATCTGTTCAAGAATGCTTCAGAAACTCTTACTAAGATACCAGAACTGTTACTAAAATTTGTTAATTTGGAAAATTAGAATCCATGATCTATTATTATGTTAATCAGAGTATTATTCTGTCTGTCACTAGTTTTTGTATAATCTTTACTGGTTAAATGCTTCTTCAGATCACTTGTACTATTTCAAGAAAAGCTTAAATAACTGAGAAAGATTTAATAATGCTTGCAAATCATCTCTAAAGTATTCTTAGAATGCTTTGTTATCTGATCAAATTTTGACCAAAAATCAGAATAACATTACTTTATCTTTCAGTTGAGGTCATCATGATTCTTATTCTTAATTAACTGAGCAGCTTAAGTAGTTAATTATTAAGTAACAAACAACTTATAATGCTGCTTCTTTCACAATACAAATTATTTTTTTTCATATTAAACTATAGTTAATTCTGAAGAAATCTCTGTAAATTTTGCTTGTTTGCTAGCTTCAGCTATTTAATTAGATTTTTTTTTTTCACAATTAAATTAATTTTTCTCTGAGTTCTGTCTTAGTTAAAAAAGTAACAAAATTTGGTTTAACAGTTCAAGTAAAATTTGATAATCTTTAGCTAGTTAGACTTATTCTACTCTGTACAGTAATCAACTACAAAATCATCATCATCTATAAAATGGAACATTCTTCTTCAGAAAAATAAAATATTTTATCAATTTAATAGCAGTCTATTCTCAAATTAATATAAAAAAAGGACTAAAAACCTAACTTTCTTCTTTAGATATTAATAATCCAATCATTATTCTTCTTATTATTCTTCTCATTGTTCTTATCAGAGAACACTACATCTCAAAATCATCTTTCTTTATCTTCTCTGAAGCAGGCAGACTATTATTATCTTCAATTAGATTTTGTAATTAGCTCAGAAATTTTCTCATTTTCTTCTTAACTCTCTCTCTTACTATACTGACTGCAGCAAGACAATCATAATTATAGTTTATGATCTTAGTCTCAAGCTTAACTATTATTTGTTGGAACTGGACCTGCTTATGTGCAGTAATAAAATACTGTAGCTGGCTTATTTTGATCTAAATATGTCAGGACTGTTACCAAATTTTGTTACTTTTAGATTCTATCTTCTTGTTCTGCTGAGCTTTATTCTTGATCTCTGTAATTTCTTCTTGATGATGCTTCTTCTTCTGTTTTCTCTTCTTTTGCTGAGATATCATAAGCTGATGCTTATGATACTTCTTTCACTTGCTCTTGATAAATTGCTTGATCATCAACTGTTCAATAGCTTTATTCTTAATTATCTTGTGATTCTTCTTGCTGCTATTCTGCCAGCAATGGATGTTAATATAATCTAATGCAAACTACTGAGAGTGCATATCACTCATGTTTGGCTTGAATTCTCTTCAGCATATTATAGTGTATCTTCTAATCTGTCTCTTCTGTCTTGAATATATCTTTTTAATAGTCTTTCAAGGTCTGATGATGCTTCTATGTGGCCCAGATCTTCTCTCTTATTAAATATTGTTTTGGCCCCATCTTTACAATTGTATGTGATGAGTTGAATTAAAGGTACTATATAATGATGTAAGGATTCGCCCGCAAACCCCTTACACAGATGAACAACACCCATGAGAGCCCAGGGCCTGGGCTTGCAAGCTGTTGGGAGTACATGTGTTCTCACAAGGTACTAAGTCACATGCTCGCAAGCACACATAAAAGGCTGCCACTGTGTGAACTCCTTGTTGGGAGCCAGTGGCAATCTTGTCTACAAGTTGTACATAGCTGCCAATACCAGACCTTTTACCTTGCGTACTCTTTTCTACATACAATTCCTCCTATAGATTCATTGTCACGCCAATCCACACGTACAATTCTCACAAATGAAATTATAGAGTATATTAATTAACTACTTGTATAAAATGGTTATTATACATATTGTTTACATTCTATAAGCATATTGCTATAGGCAAGCATCAGCAAATCCCTATCAGGCCTGCCATGCCCCACAAATTTTAGTATAATTTTTTGTGCTATAGATAGTCTTAGTGCTCTTGGCACCACATAATTGCTCCGGTTTTACTCCAGGCCACATTTTTGATTTTCTTGTTGCTCCAGATTAGCTCTGATTAAGTTCTTTCACTAGTAATGGCTTCAGATCTGCTAAACTTTATCAAATCATTCTTTAATTATCTCTTTTACTCATTAAGCCAAGATGCCACTTTCACTAGTACTTTGTACTCTTAGCTATCTGAAGGTTCTAACTGTATATATTAAAATAAATAATTTCAAGGCTAGTAGCATTCTCATTTTTTGTAAAAACTTACAAAGCTACATTTAGATGTAAGTAAAAAACTAAAGTACATCATGAATTCTCAGAAACTCTTGATCTCTTGATGCTATGCAGAGGCTGTATATAAAGCAGAGTTTTACACTTCCAACTATTAGTATCTGATTTCTTAATTTTCTTGTTACTATTTTCTGTTCCATCTTCTGGTATCTTATTTTTCTTGTCATTGTCATCTGTTTTATCTGAAGATGGCAAGCTGCCAAGATCTATCAAGAGTAAATCATCAAGATTCATATATTCAAGCTCAATAGTGGATAGTGTACCAGGCATTAGAACTCTGATAAAGAGGGTGAAGTCTTGTAAAGATTTGTATAGACTGTCTGGTGTTTTTGAATCACCTTCTGTAATTTCTGTAACAGCCTTATTTTCTGGTGGATCTGCATGTTGTAGAGGCTGCTCTGAATCTGGCTTGGCAGACATCTCATCACTAGATTTTACTGGTGATTATGTCACAAGAAGAGCCTTGCTGGTTATGACCAGCTTTTTTAATGGAACTAACTCAAGCATTCACCAGATCTTTTTCATAATGTCGTCATCTAATTCTAAGTCTGTCATGTCTTTGTATTTTAAACACAAACAAGTTTGTTCAAATATTTTATAGTAGAAGATATTCACTTATTCACACACAATATTCTTGATCTCATTTAGTAAATTTGCCATAATATTGTTCTGTCTCTTGTTATTTTTCTAAGCCTTAACATCTTCTGGAGGTTCATCTAGCCATACAGCTAGTTTATCTTCAAGATCATCAAATATATTCTGTATCATATCAATAATTTGGGGGATCATCTTGTTTACTTGATTAAATTCAACAAAACAATCAAATGTATTTATATCATGAAGAATTCAGATCTGTTGCTTTTCTGTTTGATCAAGATAGTGAACTCTTTCCATAACCTGTAAAGTGGTGTTCACATTAATTACTGGTTCAAGCATGGCAATGTTCAAGCAGTGGTGATGGATATTGATATCAAGAGAGCAAGTACTATAAGTAGTGACCAAAACTTCAACATTGCTGTCAGAATTATTAAAGACATCTTATATTTTTTGCTGTTTCTGAAACAACTGGCCTGCTTGTAGTAAAAGAATATTGTACTCAAGAAGTTTCAAGAAGATTTCAACATGAAACTCAACAGTCAGATAAGTAACAAAGACTAAAAGACAACACCTCTTGATGTCCATAACTTTTTGAAGAATCTTAAGAAACATCAAATATTTTAATGTTGTTGAGCATAAGAATTCAACAATTTATATACAGTCAGCTGAAATACAGAAAATGTTATCATTGATGATCATTCTGCTTATAAGCTACACAATTTCCTGAAATGAGTGGCACTTTTGATTAATATCTTGAGACAGATTACTCTCATGCTTTGCAATGGTTGAAGTAAAAAGGTTTTCCAAAGCAAATAAAAATGATGCATGCCTGAGCCAGCAATAAACAGCTATGTCAAAACTGCCACTAATATCATTTTCATTCTCAGAAGATTCTTGGATATCACTAACAGTTTCTTTCTTCAGTATTGAAACAAGATGTAAGTAAATGCTGTAATACTGTACTAGCTGTTTTATCTGCATCATTTTACACTTGATCATCTATGCACTATAGCTTGGAATATCTCTGTCAATAGTGACAACTCCACATATACCATCAAGATTTATTTAGTGACCATATGTCTGATGAAGCTGGATGCAGTTAAGAATTTAAGGCAAAGCAATCATTACAGAGTGTGACAATATTGAATCATGTTAAAAAAGCTGATTGTAGAGCAATGGGTGCAGAATATGCAAGCAATTCATATCAGACATGGGCACTTTCTCATAAACTTTAAGTGGGTTGTTAATTGCTTGAAAATCAAAATTCATATGTAAAGATTTCTTATTGATAAGCTACATAAAACCAGACAAATTGAAGGCTCTGTTCATTATAGAGGTTACTGACACAATTCAGATATAGTCTCTTGAGATCAAGATAATAGTCTTGTGGACAGAGATTCTTGAATTCTCAACTTTGTATTCTTCATTAAGTATCACACATTTAAAGAAGTTTTCAGTCAGCCAATCAAGTTTTCTGTAAAGCTGCTGAAGCATGTTCCTGAATACATCAGAGCATTCATCTAGTCATATAGTGATATCTGGAGTCTTGTGTTGTATGGCTAGATCATCAGAGCTCAAATACATGCACTGTCACTATACCAAATATAACATGATGATAACTGTTGTTGCAGTCTTCAGATTATTTTTGTTGAGCTTTTTGAATTCAGATTTCAATGTGGTTTTGTCAACAATAAACTTCTTGAGAGTGTCATTAATGATCTCTCTGCTGCCAAGAACACCATAAAAAAGAATCAGTCAAATGCTATCAGAGAAGAACTGAACAATCTGATCAACTCAATTAATGATCACTCCATTCAGACAGACAATCAGAGTTGGATAATATGGCCCAGTTGACTTTTGTTCTTTTGCTTTGAGAATTAAAGTGCAGTATTGTGCAGTCTTTTCCAGTTCTGCTTCATCAGCAAGAATTCCATCTTTTACTGATGACAGCTCTTGTGTCAATTTTCAAGCAACTCCAGTGACTTGCCAAGGTTTCAGTGTAAGATTTGCAACCATCAGGTTGTCAGAGTCCATATTCAAGTCAGAACAAGTAGTAAGATAATCTGGAGCTTCTGCTCCAGTTGTATTGAGCATGCAATTCAGCTTAAAGAGAGTCTTGCTGGTATTCTCAACAGAATCTTTATTATTGTCATTATCATCACTTATTTCAAGGTGTTCCAGATGTTTGGCATTAGCTATTAGTCTATTGTCAGATCTGTGCTTTTCTACAAATGGTATTTTGATATTAACAGCATTTTTGGTAAACTTTTCAAGTAAGGCTTTTCTCATGTCTTTATTTATAGAAGGCAAAGGAATATCAGAGCTAATCTCATGAATAATCTTATTCATGATTTCAACAGCATTATTGGTGTTCTTCTTGAATCAGTATTAACATCTTCATCAGTAGAATCAATTTCAACATTGCCTTGAAACTCTTTGCTAATGACTGTAGTAATAGCAGTCTCAGCTTCTGCCTTTGCAGCAGGATCATCTTACACATTCAGGTCTGTATACTTTGAGATGATTACTTTATTGTCTTGCTTACAGTCTTTTTCTTGTTTAAGCTATCAATCTGCAGATCTTGTCCATACTACATATTTCAATAGAAGAAGAAGTCTATGTATGTTCTCAGAATTATCATTTTTAAATCTCTTCTTGAATTTTGCAATTAATTGCTAAACAGCTCATAATAACATTACAGTAGAAACATCATCAGTAGGCTTAAGATTCTCAAGATCATGATTGAGTGAAGAAATTTCTGCCTGTATTGTTAGAAGCTTCATTTTCTTCATTACATCAATATGAATTAAGGTATCAGATCTGTATACAGGGCCAGTTCTACTGAAGAAATTGCTGTATTTCTTGTGGAATGTAGTTAAAACATAGTTGATTTCATCTGATTGCATCTATTCTCACAATACACCTGTTCTTGGGAAGGCTAAATATTCTGCAAGCTTTGCTTGGTTTTTATAGATTTGACTACTACCAAGTACATGGACTCCAGAAATTGTACTTGAGTGAAGGTCTTCAGCCTTGGCTGCCTTGTGAGCCTTCAGTGTGCTTATTTTCTTTAATGAAGTTGAAGAATCCATTTCTCAAGCTAGACTAAACTCTATATTAGAATAATAACCAGTCACTCAATATAGTAAATATTGGGGCATACTAGCCATACAATAAGAATTTCAAGTCAGAAGATATGTTGCATATCTAGATGTACAACACACAATATTATAAAAGAAGTCTTCAAATGGTGTCTAAGTTCAATATCAGCTTGTTGCTTATGAGAAAGAAAGTGCTTATAGAGCTTGTTTTGCACTCATAGAGAAGTCTGTATATTGCTAATCTCTAGTTAGCAAGCTTATAAGCTCTTTCAAGATTGAAATTCATGGCTGTAGAGAGCTTATCTTTACTAATTTGGAGAGCCAGCAAGCTTGTAACATAGCTGGCAAGACTGTATAGATTAGTAGTTAGAGAGAGAGTTGGAAGGGAGATTATAGCAACAAAAATAAAGTGTAGACTCTTGACCTAATTAGAAAATTCAAAACAACACATCTCTGTACTGTACAGCTAGAAAAGTAGCATAAGATCTAATATTCTCATATTTAAAGTAAAAGCTGTAAATCTTCAGCAGTATTTCTAAAATACATGCTATGCTTTACAGCTAGATAACAGCTCAGTAGATCAAGTAGACAAGCATGGCAACAAGAAAATAATATAGAATCTCTATATTATATTATAATATCTCAATGCTACATCTGTATTTCAGAATGGCAAGTATAAGAAACTCTATAGCAACTAACTTTAATTCAAAGTCATGCATAATCATGATAACATTGAGCTTGTTCAGGGTATAGAAAATGTTAAAATCAGTAATAAGACTGGCATTCTTGATAGCTTGATGCTGGAAATTGTTGAAGTAGGCTGGCATAATTACACCAGCATTATTAATAGTGCCATCAAGATGAGGTTTAACCATCTTCCTCATCTTGATCAAGATCATGGAGAAGATCTCCTTTAGTGGAAACTGCTTTGTTATTAAAGTAGACTGGCACAGTCACACCAGCATTATTAACAGTGCCATCAAGATAAGAGTCAGCTGTCTCTCCCATCTTAATCAAGATATGGAGAAGATCTTCCCTGGCAGAAACTGCTTTATTATTGAAGTAGACTGGCATAATCATGCCAGCATTGTTGACAGTAGAGATAATCTTCTCTGGTATAAATTATTTGGTCTCATCTTTAAATTCAAGATAATGGGCTTGCCACTCTTATTAATGATCTTGAAGAGAAAGTGTTTCATGTCAGCTTGAATCTTAGTATTGTTAAATTTATAACTGATAAGATACTTGATATTAAAGTCTGTATTTACAGAGTTCATGACAACTTAATTCTTTACAGCATCATTAATTAAATGCTTAGTATCTGTAAAGACAACAAATAATAACATAGTATAATGTCCCTGATTGTTTGCAATAGTTCTGATATGACAGAACCTCCATAAATATTAGCTAGATTTTTATGAAAGATGCAACATTGGTAGAACTTATTAAATGCTGCTGTTAAGTAATCAAGCTAGCAATGCTTTCTTTTCTGCAGCAGAAGCAGCAGCTGCAGCTGCAGGTTATAACTGCAGCACCAGTATAGCTAGATATAATATTAAGAGTTATAGAAGACAGGAGAGAAGAAGTATTTATATCTTGTATAATGCTGCCAAGCTAAGTCTAAAATAAACTAGCTTGTAAATATTATTGTAATATTATAGTAAAAATACACTACTCTGTAAGTGAGGCCAAAGTAAGTGTAAAGTGAAGCCAGAGCAAGTATAAAGTAAAGTCTCTATTATTATGCAATAATTTACTAGCAACCAAATTTTTAAATAATGTTTTTCCATTGCTGTTGTGCTGCTTGTAGCAAGCAAATCTCCACATTAAGTAAATTAGAGAGGCATTGCATAAAATATCCAGTGTTACTTGATTATTTTCAAGAATTCTAGTCTTTCCAGACTGAATCAGTTATTCTGACAGACTCAGAGATTCAAGAACATGCTGATAATCTTAACACTACTGAAATCTCTACTAGTGAATGGGATTTTGTTCATGACAACTATAGTGACTGGTTGGCCAACATGGGGAAAGAGAACATTAAGATAAATAAGCCAGAAATCTTGTTACTTGAAAGCACTACAGCTAGTAACCTTCTATCACAAGAAGATTTGGTTACATGTAATGTTGACACTGATGACAAGAGAGAATGTACAGAATTCATTGTTAAAAGAAGCTCAAATCTCTACATTCTGGTATCACCAGCCAAGCTTTTCATCACATTCACAACCCACACCATCATATACAAGACAACAGGTTAAAGGGCAGGTGTACCTGTTAATATTCAAATTGAATCTGATTCTGAATATTCAGAAGAACACAATTCATTTTATTTATTTTGTAGTGAGATTGATTATAGAATAGCAAGTTTCTTTTTCAGAGCAAAACTTAGCAAGAAAAATATTAATAACTTCTTGAAGAGCTCTTCTCTATACAGCATCACTACATAACTGAGTTTTTACAATACAGACAAGCTCTTCTTGAAAGTTGTCAAGATCTCATATGATTATACTGCAAGAAATTGAGTTTAGATGAATGTAACAGTTCTCTTGCCAGAACTAGATTTACACTTTAAGATACACAAGCTTTAGTATCAGAAAGTTGAATATGTTATTCAACATCTTCTTGACTATAAATCATTTCAGAAACATCTGGTATATGAACCAGTGCAGTACTTTAATCAGAGCAATGACTGAGTGTATACAGAAATGCATACTGGAAATTAGTGGTAAAATATACAGAAGAACTTTTCTGATGGTGCAACTGTAATACTAGTGTTAATTGTGACAGATAAAATACAGCTTATTAACTAACATGAAGACTTGAACTCATGGCCTGTATATCTCTTAATTGAAAATTTAAGCAATATAGTAAGATGGTCTTATAACATGAATGGCACAATGCTTGTTGAATTTCTCCCATCACTAAAGAATGCATTACAGAAACTCAAATTCCAAGTATATTATGAGTTTATAAGAATTATACTGAAGTGTAAGTCTTACTTTAAAGCACTACAAGTTTCTGTCATTGCAACATATAATCTAGCTGTACAGCTAGATATATGCTGAATCTGTTGACAAAATTGACTGACAGTTAGTTGAGTCAATTAGTACTTGAACACTTGTATAAAACAGGCTTCATGGTCAAATATACTGATGAGTGAGTTCAAAACTGTTTTCCTATTCTTGCCAGAATAATAGCTGACTATAAAGAACAAGTGTTGATAACTGAAGTTAAAAGTAGTAGACACTGCATTATTTGTACTGTTCCACCTAATGCACAAGAGAATCTGATGGAATTCTGGCCAATGAGAACCCATGAATACACACTGGCAATGCTTCAGAATCAGCAGGATGCAATAGTAACCAGAAGACTTGATGAAATTTCAACAAGAATTAAAGAAATGTTGATTCATGCTGTTCTGAACTTTGTATGGCATTATTCATTAGTAAATGTTCACAGTATTATAATGATTGACATCTTCCACCAATTGCTTAAAGAACTAGTGAATCATTTAATTAACTGGTTGAAGACTTTAATCAAGAATGTCTTTAAAGCAATGTGTCAAGAGAAGAAAGACTCTGATTCCACCATTATTATATCAGATACTGTAGGTATTGCAAGACTTGATGAGTGGTTTCAACAGATTCCTGTGTATCATTTACTGAAGCACTTCAAGAAGTTCAGCACTATAAGTTAATGAACTGGAGTTCAATAGAGAGTAGTTGTGTGACAGTTAATTATAGTAATTGCTTTCATACTGACAAAGACAAAGTCAGCTGCTGTACTATTTGCTCATGCTGTACTTAATCTGCTTTTTCTTGTGTAATATTGGTTGCATGATGAGAATACATTGAAATATATTGAACATGCACTATATTAAATTAACAGACTTAAATAAGCTTTTAGTGACTATTAGACAAATAATAAAGATTCTGCTGAGAGTGGGTATTTTAACTTTCTGAAGTTCCATGTACTTGTTCACTATGCGCAATTCATCTATGAATTTGGGAGACTTGATAGATTTGATACTGAGAATTATGAGATATCACACAAATATTTAGTTAAAAAGCTGTTCAGTAGAATCAACAAGCAAGAATTATATCAGAACCAAATAATCAAACACAACATCTGCTGCATGAACATGATGTTACTTAAGAATACAGCACTTGATAATAAAATTCTGAATCAAGAAGCAGCAAGAGCAGCTGATAAGCTAGAAGTCAAGAACACATGCTCATCAGAGGCAGTGCCTATACATGACTTGAAGTAACAGGTGTCTGAACTAAGTTCTAGAAATCTTCTCAAGAATCAACTCACTGCTGCAGATCTAGCCAGCTAATTGAAAAGCCTGAATGATGAATTTCTTGAGACACTTGCTGTATTTGTTTGGGAAATATGAAAGCAATTGAATATTATAAAATCTGGAGAAACTTGTGCTTTCAGTAATAAACAAGAGCCTTAATGAGATTGGGTCAAGATATACTGTCTTCAAATTCATCAATCTATCATAACTTGGAAACCAGATGGAAAGAATGACTCAAACTGAGAAAGATTAATCAAGAAAATTGTACATTGCTCACCAGCATGGATGGAAAAAACAAATTTCTGGTGGCAGAACTACATTTGGGTCCAAGTGCATGAACTATTCTGAGCAAGTAGGTCCATATTGAATGGCAAGATGGTTGGCCAGCTTGTGGTTGTGATAACAGTTCTTGATCATGAACAGACAGAATATATAAGAAGCTAAAAGATCAATATATTATCTGCACAACCTGCAATATATAGTAGCACATTTATTGACATGTTACAGACTCATACTGGAATTCTGCATAAGATTTATGGCATGATTAAGATGGAATTACCTGCAATATCTCAAAGGTCTCTGTTAAAAAGCTGTAATCTTGATAAACAATGAATCTACTTCATAAAGAATATCATCTATAGTGTACATGTTGTTTCAGCAACAGAAGATGAGTCTTTATACAGAGATAAAAGACTTTTTTATGTGAACAACTATATTGACTGGAACCAGTATACAAGTCTATATGACTCAGATTTTATGAACACCAGTACAGCACTAGCAAATAAGTTTTCCTCTAAACCTTAACAAGAGATAGCAAATAGAAAAGCAAAATCTGATGGAGAATCTGAGAAAGAATTGACTGAGTAATTAAAATATTCAAGAATACTTGTCAGCAACTGAAAAGTTTCAGTAAATTGTTGAATACATTTTTTTTACTGCTTTACTTAACAATATTGCAATGAATTATTTATGTCAGAGATGAGATAGAACATCTTCATGGTGATTATATAGTCAGTTGGATGGCCATAATATCTAGCTATATAACAGATGTGCATATCTGTCAGACTCTTGCTGTATGACTAGATATATATTCTAACATGACTTTGAGACCCCATCATCTGTACTCTGTAACTACAGAGTTAAATAAAAAGAATACATATACTCAACATGAAACAACACTATACTTATAAAGAAGACAGTAGCTCTTAATAAATAAAAGTACTCTGTATATTGATGAAGATTAAAGCATTTTCTGTGGCTGTATGAAATATGAAGTAACTAGTTATCTAACTGGCTAACTAGTTACAGAGTAACTCAATAACTTAGTTAACTAACCTATTAGTTAGTTAGTCATGTGACCCATAACATCTCCCAATCTCTTACAGTGACTTTACAGGCTCCAGTTCATGTTTTGCATTCTGGAACTTGATGAGTTGCATGGTTTTTCTTTGATTATTTATTACATGCAATTCAATTTAAGAATCTGTTATTTACTAAGTGATTTTCTCAAGTAATACTGACAATAGTCCTCAGGAATACATTCTCCAGACAAAGCCATGTGGCTAGCACCAGATTACTGGAAGTCAAAGATTGAAAATTGTCAGTGATTAAACATGAACTGAAAATTGACTGTAACATATATCAATTACTATGTTGCTCTGTTGAACAAGAGATGTATCTACAATAGATATTCAGAAAGAAGCTTAGTATATAGAAGAACAGAAAGAAACTACTTGATGTTATTCAGCAAATAATTGCTTAATATGATTCTATCTTTCATGATTATCTGACTTTCCAGGCACAATGTTGTCTAACAGCAATAGCTCAGAAATGCAACAACAACTAAAAGTACTACTTATTCAGAGAAGAGCTTGTACATTCAAACTTAATTGCTTCATCAGACAGTAATTATTCTCAGTTCAACTCTGTTTCTTCTGGTATTAATATTGGAGGGATTGTCAGGATACATGAATAGAGTCAAAAACAACAGTTTCTAAATGCCACTGCAAAGCTTTAATGTATTATTCTTACTGGACAGAATAATAGCAGTAATGAAATGAATAATACTCTGCTTGAATCAACAAATATAGTTGTTCAACATTTAGAACAGAGAGACACTATAATATGTAGTATGGAAGATCTTGTCAGCAACTGTAAGAGCATGCTAAAGAAAAGAACAAGCATGATAGATAACTCAGCTCTGATTTTATGTGTCTTCTTCCAATAATTAAGAATACTGCTTTAAAATGAGCTTGATCTTGACTGGAAAGATACTCAAATTTGGTACTTTGAGCTGCTAGACAACAAGCTGCTGAAAATCTGTAAAGAGTATTTGTTCTGAACAGCTCTCAAACAAATGTATTGCTTAAAATGGTGCTACTTTCAGCTTTTTCTAACTGGTTTGAATGGAATTGAAGAATTGCTTTTTAATAAAAGTGGTGGTTAGGTGTGTATGTCCACTTCTGATAGAATAACTATTTGGGTGACTTTTTGAGTTTATTTTATGGAGCAGATACACAGGAGTTCCAGCTTTGAAATAGCTTATAATTGGTGATCATTATCAAAAAGATTACTAGTCTAGTTGCTAAATGCTGAACCAGCATTTCAGAGACTTCAATTTCTTCAACAATTCTTCTTCTTCATTTCAGCATTCTGGTACTGAGAATTCTCCTCTACATCAACAATTAATGCAAGATATTTCACAAGTTAATTCTCTTCAATCTATTGTTGTTCACACATATTATATAGTGAATTGAAAGATGTGTCAAACTTGAATTGTTTTATATTAATGGGATTGAAGACTGACTCTCATGTAAGAAATTGCATACAATAGTGCTCTTGTTACAGAAGCAGAAGTCACCATCACAAATTCAGTTAGGCACTACTCAGTACAGAAGTGCATCTGCCACTTCTCAGATAACAAGAAAGAGAATCAAATCAGTAAGTACTGCAAGAGCTTTTCTGAGATCAGATAAACAGTTGATGCAAGCAATAGACAGCCAAATATAATACATTAACTAAACAGTCAGCAGGTTCTCTGAAAAGCAGACAGAGTTAGTCAGATTTTAGTAATATGCTACAGAGATAATTGCTAATTCAAATGCAATTAATAGGCAAGGGTGCATCATCAATGTCACAGAATAGTATAATGCAAGAAGCAATAAACTTGACAAAGAATAGTAATATTGATATATTATTTGAGAAAGTAAGTTGTAATTACAATGTATCTGCTAGCACTAACAATATCTAACATGATAGAAGCCATTGCAGATAACTAAAGAACTTTGACAGAATTATGATACTAGAGTCAGAAGCACTGCAACTCCAGAAAATACAGTAAATATATCTTTCAGTGCCCAGCTGCCTGCTTCAAAGTGTGTAATATGACATGGTGCCAAGCAGCATTGCCTGATCAGATTACTGAATGCAGCCAATAAAGCAGTGCTTTCCATTGCAGAGCAATTCTGAAGAGTACAGCTGTTTTCTGGTTTGAATCTTGACAGAGTACCAGATAATTAACTGATATCATGGCCTGAATACCTTGCTAATACAGACTAACTTAGTGAAATGATTGAGAGCATCTGGACAAGAGCAGTGTAGATATGATATAATAACAGATGTAATGTCAGTAGTATATCAAGTACTTTATTTTATAAATTAAATAAGACAGAAGCTAGAAGAGTAAGTCTTATTATCTTTACAAGACACAACAAGTTTCTAACATTACATGTTAGCTTCACAATATTGCAAGTTTTGCATGAGGGCACTTCATGAAAAAGACTTATAATGTTGTGATGGAGAAACACTTTGAATTAACAGCTGAAGAGTAGAAAGAGACTGCTGCAAATCTTCTTTTTAAAGATAGCTTTACATATTTCAATCCAGAGAAAAAGATACACAACATCTTTCTAAGATGCCCATCTGATAAAATCTGCTACTAAGAAGTCTGGAATGACAGGATGGCAAGAGATGCTTTCTGAACCCAATAATATATGTTGCTGTTGGTCAGTTTCTCTATAATAGGGGTATATACAACTCTGCCATGAATGAACACATTATGTATCTCTTTGATTCTCTGCCTGCTGATTGCATCATTTGAGCATCAACATGTTTGTACTACACTATCAAGAAGTATAAGACTGGTAGTTATGAATATATCAGATTTGAGAACCAAGCTGTGCAGAGTAAGCTGCTTTACAGATGCTGGCTTGATTAATTTGAAAGCTAACTAGTACTGTACTTTAATAGATGATTTTAAATGTCTACAAGCTGTTTGAAACTGACAGACAGAAGAACAACAATCACATATTTGTAAAATCATTTTTGACAAAGTGAGAGCTCATATAGAATAGGATGCTCAGAAGAAGAGAGAGCCTGCTGCTGCTGATATTATTAATGAGTATGAGAATGGTTTGGATGATTTGGTAGAGCTAGACTTTGTGGAAGATACTGATGATGGTAATGAGTGCACATCACAGTATAGTAATATTGGGACTCTGAATGATAGTACTTTGATTAGTCTGACATGAAGTTAACTCCAGTTTGTTAGATTGTACTAACAAATGTGAATCAAAAATGTAGAGGCTTGTTGACATCAAGAATATTAACTTGGAGTATATTCATGACCTTACAAACAAGACATCTGATGTTGATGGAGACAATGGAGACAACAGGAACAATGAGGCCAACAGAGATAATAGAGATGACAGAGATGATAAAGATAATAAAGATGATGAAAAGAGCAGTCCTCATGTTCTTGAGAATACAGAGCATGAGGAGGCCAGAAAATAATAATTAATGGGGTAAAGCTTGCTAATCTAGCTGTATGACATGAAATAGTCAGGCCATACAGCAAGATTAATAGCATTGAAGAGTATATATGAGGTCCTGTGTAATTGTGTTTTTCACATCAGTAGTAGTGAATTACCTGGCTGCATCACTAGATTTATTTTCTACAGCAAAGTTAAGAGCAGCATATTTATTGTCACCTCTGGTGTTAGTAGCAGCATCATGAAATGGGACATTAATGCATTTGGTGATAGTGTTGTTTATGTTAATTGTAACAGTAATCATATAAGCAACATTATCAGTAGAGTAAATAAAAATATCAATAACATCTTTATTGCTGTCATTAATACCAATGTGAAAGAAAGCAGCTTGTGTGGATCAATAAAAAATAACAGATCTAGTAGACACAACAGAGTTGTTGAAAATAATAGCATTTATAGAACATGCTAAATTAACAGCAGATGCAGTAAAGGCACTCATTATATTAGAAGTTGCCTGGGACCATGGCAGAGAAAAATGCTTACCAGAGTGAGTCCTGTGCCCACCCAGGGTAAGTCCAGAAAAGCAACATAAGCACAGACACCCTGGCCACCCAGACACCTGGGGCTAGCCCTGGGCCTGGTAGGGATTTGCCAATGCTTGGAGCTTATTCACATCCTGAAGCAATTAGAAAAGGCATTTAGTGATAAGAAAGCTGATATCTATCTATACTATAACCATGCAAAACTAATAACTTCAAAACTTGGGTTGCAGACTCACACACTTAATAGAGAATAGCTTCTCAACTATTTGACTCACATCTATAGAAATCCTCACAATATTGACTCAGTCAAGACTAATGACAGTATCCACCTCTGGTTTCATTTGACAAATAGACCAGCTAGAGCTGAAGATGCTTTAGACATTTATAAATTCAAACATCAGCCAATTATCTCTCTGGTTGCAAACATGCAAACATTTAACTTTAACTAATACATACAGATCACTGAAGTTAACAAGTTCACTACCAGCAATTTTGAGAAGAAATGGGAAACCACTGGATCTGTCATTATTCTCTAGCTAATATGCTGGTGAAACAATAAGTTACAAGGCATCACCACTACAGTACTCACTCAGGTCAATAACAAATATGATATATACTATCATTATTAACAAATAATGGAAGGCTGCAACAATTACAGATGGCTGAGAACAATATACTACAATATCAGCTAACAACTTATATGCCAGAACTCTGCATACTATCTTTAGTATATGCTGACAAGATCCAACCACACTTGGAAATTAATCTCCTATTCATATTATGCCAAGTATGCAAAGCCAGAGAATAAAACAGAATTTCATCATATCAATGTCAATATTCCAGATGCTATTACTACTGGAAAGGGCATTAATATGATACAAGAATTCTTGACTTTAACTGCAGAAGAGCCTGGCAACTGCACAGAAATCTTGCCAGAAATGCATAATCATCTAGAGAATTGATAAGAACTAGTCAAAGAGCAAGGCTTATTCACTAATGACTATATTCATCACATTAAGAATACAATGTATACCAAAGACAACAAAAGAAAATTTGATATTAGATGGACTGATATCATTTACAAACCTGGCAATATCCAAATTACAAGCTCTCTGCTGCCTTATAGAGCTTACAGTCTATGCAAAAAGATCTGGTGTACTATACTACTCTGGTATGTGGCAATTTAGAAGAATCATGAATATCTTGAAGTCAATGAAGCTGGTATCTGATTACAGCTCTCCACCACACATAGGGATCTAGTTCCAGAGCCATCATCACTCTCCAGCCATTTAAACTGTTATGCATCAGTTCCATATCAATTCTCTACTGCTATTCAATTGCAAGGCTTAGGAGCTATATTAGATGCCTTGGTAGACTGAATTAGATGGGACAACTTTATAATGATTGAGAAGCTCAATACCCTCTTTGGACCAGAAGAGAAGAAGGCTCAGAACTTTATTAATAACTAGCATCTAAAGACCACACAAATTGCCTTAGATACTATTGTCAAGACATATCAAATTTCAAAGAAAGCTTTTAGTAACAAATTCTATTAGCATTGTGTGCATAACAACATTGATCCAGTGTCAGTTCAGCCTTCTCCTTCTTTCAAGAACTTGGTGAAAGAAGAGAATTATGATAATTATTATTAGAAATTGCTGCTGTTACTCTCTTTATTCTTATTTTCTATCTCTTTTCTTATCAGATTGTTACTATTTCTTATTCTCTTATTTTCTTTACTAAATTATCTTTGTTTTGTTTCATATGTTGCTTGTTGTCAGGGGATGCCAACATTGAAAGCCAGGAGAAAATGTAGTGGGGATTCTGATACCATATTAGAACAAAGATTATTCTGGTCTGATGCACAAAACTCCTCTCCAGCTACTATCTCTGAGCTATATAAACCACCTATAGCTTCTGCATCTTGCTCAACACTTTCATGCATCTTTGTACTTTACTACACACTTATTCTTTATTGCTAGTTTGGTTATTAGTTAGAGAATATGAAGATCTCTTATTCATAAAGCTTGCCACTGTTTCTTATTAGAGCTGCCTGTATTAATACAGGGCTCTTTAGTACTATTATTTCTTATAAGCTTAGGTGTCTGTTAAGGCATGCTTCTCTGTTCTTACTACTCAGCTATTACCATCCTTACTATGTTGTGATTTTTCATCCTTCTTGCACTCTTATCATCTCAACCAACTCACCTACTTTGACAAGACATCCCATCATACCCCACTTCAATAGCAGGGCTCTAGAGGTTTTATAGGCATTAAAAATGTATATGCTGGTAAATTGCATATTCTAGGCATTTGTAGAACTAGAATATCATCTTCATTAAGTACAGCTTCAAAGCTCTGTATTTTATCTGCCAATTCTAGTAGAAAGATATGTTCTTCATTAATGTAGAGCTGTTCTACTGTAAACCCATCTCATATAAGCTTTTCAAAGCTTATAAGATTAACTTGAAGGTCACGCACAATTCTAATTCTCTTAATACTTAATTCACTATTGTCAGTTTGAATACTGGCTGTGCTGAATTCTCTGGTGACTGATTTCAAATCATTTGTAATAAGCAGTTGTGTTGCATGGCTCTTTGGGTCCATTTGAACTAGATCTATATGTGAGATTATGTGAGATCTGGCTTCAGAGTCAAGAATCTATCTGTTTGTGGATTCATATACTTCTCTTGTAGAAAAGACTGCTTTGTGAATCAAATGAATCTTGTCTGTTATAACTGTTATTACTTTCTTGCTTTTATCTTTAGAGTCTTTCTTAAACTTATTAGACTTTAAATTTGTATTCTTGTTAGATCTGCAGAATTTAGATAAGTGGCCAGGTTTGCCACAGATATAGCAGTTCCAGTTTAGTGGTGAGCTCTTCTCTGGAATGGATTTGGAGTTCATATTCTTATAAGATCTTTGAGAATCTGAGCTTGTTGTTACATTTGTATTTGATCTTGTAGATCTGCCTTTCTTCTCATCTTTTTTAGAGATTTGGTGAAGAATATTCTTCAGTAGATCTTTCAAATTCTTCTCTGATAGATTTGTTTCACTCTGGCATGCCATATCAAATCAGTTCTGTATGAACTCTCTTTATTAAGGCATAATATTTGCCTTTAAAATATCATGTAGAGTATGATCTAGTTGTTTGAATTTTAATCTCTCAAATTCTATACAGATTACTAGAAATCTCTTTATATAATTTCTTTCTGAGTCAGCAGACTGTAGTGTCATTCTTATTAACTTTATATATAGGTTTTCCTGCTGTATCTCAGGTCTCTCTTGAAAGACTGTCTTTACAGCTTTTCAGAGTTTATAGATACTAAGACTATCTGATTTCTCAAAGTGTTCTTTAGCTTGTGCAGATATCATACTATTGATTAGGCTGTATAATTATTTATTTTGAATGTTTCAGTATTCTGAAATCTTTAAGTTCTCTAGCTGTAGTAAGATCTCTTGTCTTTCCAGAATAATCTTCTCAGTATTCACTTGATGAGCTATCTTTAGAATGACTTTGCTTCATGCTAGATAGTTGCTGGTCTCAGCCAGAATTATAGGCTTCTTTACTGTTTTTGAGATCTTCATGAATTAATTGATTGCTCTGCTGGTTCATGTATTTGTATCTATAAGATTTTCAACAAATTTTTCTAGTTTGTTCTCAGAGTCTAGTTTTTGGTTCTCTTCTTGTTGAGCTTCTTGCTCCAGGTTCTCTTGTACTGTTGCAGGTGTGTTTGCAGTGCTTTCTTGGCCTGACAGAAGGTTCATTTGCTGTGCCAGCTGTTGTATCATTTTCTGTTATCTTTATATTAACTTCTATTGCTTTTGCATCATCTTCTGTTGATTCAGTATCATTCTGCATAACATTTGAAGTTTGCTCTCCTTTCTAGACTTCTGCTTGTTATTTGGTGGGCCATCTCTGAGCCTACTTAACTATCTAAGCTTGGTTTGAGGTGTAGAAAGATTTGTTGAAGTCTTCTGATCAGAAGTTCAGTGCTCTGGTTCATCTGTATAGTTTATCATGACTTTGATGTTGCCAGATGCTTGATTTGCTTGCTAGTTGTGTTTAGCAGATATTTCACTCACTCTCTGATTATGTGCTAGAAAGCTACAGGATTCAACTCACTCTTCAGCTTGATGCCAGAAAGCTACAGAAGTTTGCATGTATAGAAGGCATCTATCATGACATATGCTCTCTTTAGTGCTTGTAAAACCTTGTTATTCACAAGAATAACTGTTCAGAATGTTAATTGTAAGCTTCAATATTCAATTGAGCTGTAAATCAATCTTATATGCTTGCTCTTCAGCACAAAGAGCTATAACCTGATGAAGAACTTGTATGCTTGTCATTCACTAAGCTACCTAAAGAGGAATCTCAGCTAATCTATGTGGGTCATGTGAGTGAGGTGCTAGTTGGATTACCTAACAAAGAGACCAGACTCCAGAACAATTTTACCCTGTACATCCGACACTTATAGTCACGTGGTGGAGCTAGGCCAGATTTGGGAGTTGGCATGTGCAAAGACTGACCTCAAACACTAACACTTCCAGTAGGGACGTTCACAGACTGTTCTTTTTCTCTCCAGTAGCTCTCATTGTTATCAAAATCGGTATCAGCCCTCTCCCTAAAAATGGCGAAGAGGAAAAGGCATGAGGAGTCAGAGGGTACAAGCCCAAAAAAGTCCAAAGCAGCACGATTCAATATCCACACACTAAGCCGGTTGCAAAAGGCGGTTGCAGCGGATCCCGAAATTGATCTGACATTATACTTCCCTAAGGACTACTCTGAGCGTCTCTCTGAAATGCGGACTCCGTTACTATCCTCAGCGAGTTAAGATTCCCTCCATAGTTATAACCTACCTTTTCTAACTTCTCTGCCGGTAGCACCTATTTCTGCTGCAACGACGTCAGGTTCAGTTCTCGAAGACGATATCCGCGTGTTTCTAAGACCTTCCGAACCCATCGCCGTTATATTTCCCTTATCTGACTCGGTTTGCAGAATGCTGGCGGGTACGGACATGTCGGAGGCCTTAATAGGGCTTATGCAGCGCTCTGAAATTCTCTGGAAAAGCCCGTTTCCTCGAAAGAAAATGGTTTTCAAATGCGATGGAAATATCGTCGTTAAGGCCATAAAGAATGCGGTGGACTACACTGAATATACAACACTACTGTACCTGGAAGTGCACAAGCCCACAGTGCCCGCTCCAAGGCCATCTGGATTATTACATGTCAACAATGTCTCTTTAATTTTTATGACTTACGTCCCCACGACAACACTGGCAGACATCTGGACAGGACTGGATATCGCACAGAAGAGGTCTATTCAACATCAGCTGAACGAAATCCTAGCTGATCTAAGGTCCCTCTCATGCCCCGATGGGATGCCGCTCGGAGGAGTCCGCGGCGAAGGCTGTAAAGATGTTAGGAGACATCTTCGCCACAGCATTGAACCCATTCTTACCATAAAGGATTTCAAGAACTTTCAGTTCCCCTCTTTGCGCACTCCTATTTTCACAGAATTTATCGACCGGCTCTGTCAACCCTGCATCCGACCCGGGCAGTTAGAAATTCAATGTGTGTTTACACATGGTGATCTGCGACCAGATAATATTACTGTAGAAGCAAGCGATGGCGGCCAATTCCGAATTACTGGTCTGCTGGACTGGGAATATAGTGGATTCTATCCTGAGTATTACGAGTTGATTAGGAGCACAAACGGCCTCGGCCCTTCTGGAGATGATGACTGGTATTTGTTCCTACCGGAGTGTATTTCGCCAGAACGCTATGGCATGTGGTGGTTACTGGACTACGCTCATGGGAGGTTGGTGGAGTGATTATCATATGGCTTTAGAAGAATGGAGGCGTCGGAAATTGGTACTATATCGCAGCATGTATTAGGTGGTTGCAAAGCCCTGATTGTGATCCTAGGCACGAAAGCTAAATACTTAGTGGAAACTGAGGGCATGGCAAGGAAATTAGAGGATTGCGCCTCGCTTTTCCTTCAATTCATCCCGAGCTTCACGGTACTCCTCATCATCCTCTTCCAAAATGAACTCATCTTCTAGCTTGTCGAGAATATCAAGCACATATTCCTGACAATCCCATTCCACGGTGTCGTTATCCACAGGAGTCTCACGGACGACATCATGCACCCTTTGAATGTCGTTTTTGCTCATTGTAGCAATGAAGACTTTGCCAACAAAATTCTTGGAACGTTCGGGTTTCGAATACACGACATTGGGCTGGAAGTTCGGATGCGATCCAACAACCTCAAAGATTACATCCTGGTCGTCGGCATCAAGATACAATGCCCAATGTTGAAAATTGCCGTAACGGGGTCGATAGAACACAACATGGAGTTTTGGACTGTCCATTTCATCTGCTCTCCTGGCTGCAAGCTCTCAGCATATGTTTGCATCCTGTTCAGGAACCTTTCCATACTTATCCTACACCAAGTGGGATAATGTCAAATTCCAAGTGATCTTGGAATATGGGTCCTGTGGTCAAGATTGGCGGCAACACTATCAGTGGGCGTGAGGGCGCAAGAAAGCCTTTTTTGCCCGAAAGAAACAGCACATACAAGGCAATGATTTATATACACTTTACGACAGAAGCAGAGCTCGTTTGCTGGCGACCAAGAACCCGCAATTTGCCATTGCTTGACATCTTACCCTGTCAAATGGTTGCCGAACCAGGGCAGTTCCAATAAGTACCCAAAGATTCAAACAGCCTCCGCAAATCCGGCATTAATTACCCCTCCATGCATTGCTGCCTAATATGGGAGGACATTGTTGGAGGAATCAGGCGCAGGATGTCTGATTGGCCGTTGTTCTCTCTTCTCTGTCTCCCAAAAAGGATGAGGTGAAACTAGGCCTAAAATACTTTAACCTCTGACCAGGTAGGTGGTGGCAGGTTTGATGGAGGACTTGTATGCTTGTCATTCGCTAAGCTACCTAAAGGGGAATCTCAGCTAATCTATGTGGGTCATGTGAGCAAGGTGCTAGTTGGACTACCTAACACCCCCCCATGCAACAAGCTCCAGCAGTGAGCAAGAGCCACAAAGATCTAAAGCTTCCAAATCTCTCAAATCTGCAATAAAAATTAATTACAAAATCCAGATTTATTCCTTTTTTAGACTTAGCTTCATTTGCTGTGATACAGTATTTTCACCAGTTTTACTGATAAACTTTCATATTTTCCTGTATTAATCTGTCACCCCTATCACACTCACAAATTGAGTGTAGGAATTCATTGCAAGAGCCTTTGTGAGCCTGTCAGCTTTATTTGCATCACTTTCAATATGCTTGATCAAGATTTTGTTCTTTTGCATCCAGTCTCTTAGCATATGGTGCCAAATCTCAATATGGCATGCTCTTCACATTATAGCTTTAGCTTTGGCTAAGTTAATAGCTCTCTTGTTGTCAATACTTAATTTTGAGCTTCTTAGTCTTGCTGAGCCTTCACTAATTACCCCAGCATCTATTAACAGGTCATTAATCTAAACCAGTTCACAAGTAGCTTCACTAGCTGTCAAATACTCTGCTTCAGTTATAGATTTCAAGACAGACATCTGGTGCTGTGATCTCCACAAGATTGGAGCTCTGTTCATGATAATAATATAGCTGCTGGTGAATTTGTACACAGAATTGGCTCCAGTTCAGTCAGAATCCAAACTGGCTGCCAGTTTCAAGTCTTCAGAATCCATATTTCTTTTGAAGACTATTTCTTTTAATTTTATGCTCTTGAGATAGTGTAGAATCTGCTTGAATGCTGCTCAGCTCTCTCTATTGGGCCTGCTGTTGAATCTTGCCAGATAATTAACTGCAAATGCAATATCCAGTCTCATACACATAACTAGAAACTGTAGAGAGCCCAGGCCTTTCCTGTAATTCATAGATGTAGCCTGCTTATTAACTCTATCTTTGAGAGTCTGATCTGGCACAAATTCAATGCTTATTTCTTTCTTCATTAGTGTTTTGGAAGGTTTGCAGTCTTCCATTCCATATTCAGTCAGTAGATTCTTGATTTACTGTTTCTGATTCACAAAAAGGTCTCCATTTGACTGCTTTTGAATCTACATGCCTAGATAACAGCTCTGTTCTATAATCTTCTTGATCTTGAAGCATTCCTGAAGCTTCTTAATAAGTCATTCTGTTTCAACTTTATTGGGTCCCATTATACAACAGTTATCAACATGTAGAGTTAGATAGATTTGCTTTCCCTTGTGGTAGAGTAGGCCTGCATTATATGGAGAGATCTGGAATTCTAGAGATTTCAGATAGTCAGTAGCTGCTTGATACCAGAGCCTAGCAGCTTGCTTCAATCTATAGAGTCTCTGACATAAGAGCCCTACTAGATTACCTCATCTGTGCTTGAATCCAGTAGATAGTTAAACATATACACATTCATCCTCTGGAAGAATTCCATTTAGAAAGACTGTCACAAAGTCAAAGACTTTGATCTTCCAGTTCTTGGCTGTTGAGATAGCAAAGAAGGCTCTCATTATAGATCCACTAACAACTGCTATGTAGGCCTTCTTGTAGTGAATGCCTTCTTGCTGTTTGAATTCATGTACAACCCAACAGACTTTAAATTATACTGTACCACCTGTGTTGTTGAGCTTCCTATCAAATACTCATTTGCTAGAGAGGATCTGCATTTCAGGTTCCTTCTTAACTAGAATTCAAATGCCTTTCTCTTGTAATTTGGAGACTTCAATATCTAGAGTCTTCTTTCAATAAAGCCATTCTTCAGAGCATTTGGCTTCAGCAATGAATTTTGGTATGTCTGTACACATACTGAGCACTGGAAGCTCAGCTCCATTTGTCTCTTCTTCCTCCATAGCATCCAAGAGAATTTCTTGCTCTTCATCCAGATATATAGGCTCTAAAGCCTCTAATTCACCATCTGCAAGCTTCTTCATGATTTCTGACTTCTTCTTCACAAGGTAAGCTAGTAGCTTGTGTTGCCAGCCATTCAATAAATCTATGTAATTGTACTCCTCTGGGAGTTCAACATATTCAGCTTCAGTTAGCAAATTCATAGGGATTTGATCCAATTTCTTGTCAAATATAACATCTCACAAGATCATTATACTGTTCATTTCTGGGTTCCAAAGCCTGTAGGTGTGCATGCCACAATATCCTACAAATTTGACCTTCTTGGACCTAGATTGGAGCTTTGAGGATTCATTCAAAATCTTCACATAAGCATCACATCCCCACCTATGGACCCATCTGCAATGGGGTTGGTGACCCAACCAGACTTCAAAGGGTGTCAATGGCTTTGTGTTCTTGCATTCATATAGAGGCACTGAGGTAGGCAATAGATTTACCATCATGGAGACTGTGGTAAGAGCTTTACCCCATAACTCATTGAGTAGTTCTGAGTCTATAAGTATGCTTCTTGTTCACTCACAAAGAAGTCATATTCCTCATTCACTCATTCCATCTTGTTGAGATGTATATGGGCATATAATCTCCTGTTTTATACTCTTGCTTCTGTAGAATTCAGCCAGTTGCTGGCTCATCAATTCAGAAGCTCCATCAGACAGTATAGTGCCAATCTTTCATTCAGTGAATGCTTCAATCATGTTAATTCAGTTCTTTAGAGTTTCTGGAGCTTCTACCCACTCCTTCAGAAGATAGATCCACCTGTATCATGTGGCATCATTCATTATAAGTAGAAAATACTTCACTCCACCATAGCTTGAAGAATCAGAGTCTGTAGATAGGATACAGCCACCACCTGCAATATCAATAAAAATTTTAGCTCCAGGCTTTGTAGAGCATGTTCTAGATTCAAATGGGTTGCAAGCTTGCTTAGCTTTAGCACAGGCTTTACAGAACCCTAGCTTCTTTACTCCCTTTATTTACATTGCCATTCTCAGATCTCTAGCTAGAATAGCTATATCATGGGCATTAAGATGCCCCCAGCATTTGTGCCAATTGGCCATCATATCCTCCTTGATTTCTGGTGTCTTTGCCAGGTGATTCAGTGCCAAAAGCACATCATCTCTATCTTTATTCTCTAGAGTTGCTGTTACATAGCAGGGCTCTAGAAGTTTCATAGGTACTGGAAACACATATGCCAGTAAATTGCATATTCTAGACATTCATAGAACTAGGATGTCATTTTCATTAAGCATGGCTTCAAAGCTCTGCATTTTATCTGCCAATTCTAGTAGGAAGATGTGTTCTCCATTGACATAGAGCTGTTCCACTGTAAAGCCATCTCATATAAGCTTTCCAAAGCTTATGAGATTAACCTGGAGGTCAGGCACAATTCTAACCCCCCCAATGCTCAATTCACCATTGTTGGTTTGGATACTGGCCATGCCAAATCCTCTGGTGACTGATTTCAAACCATTTGCCATAAGCAGTTGTGTTGCATGGCTCTTTGGGTCTATTTGAACTAGATCCATACATGAGGTTGCGTGGAATCCAGCTCCAGAGTCAAGAATCCATCTGTTCATGAATTCACAGGCTTCTCTTGTAGAAAAGACTGCTTCATGAACCAAATGGATCTTGTGCATTGCAACTGTTGTTGCTTCCTTGCTTTTGCCTTTAAAGCCTTCCTTAGGCTTATTAGGCTTCATATTCTTGTTAGATCTGCAGAATTTAGCTAAATGGCTAGGTTTGCCACAGATATAGTAGTTCCAGTTCTGCAGTGAGCTCTTCTCTGGATTGAATTCAGAGTTCATATTCTTATAAGATTTTTGGGGATTCAAGCTTGTTGCATTTGTATTTGGCTTTGTAGATCCACCTTTCTTCAGGTCTTTCTTGAGGATTTAGTGGAGGATATTCTTCAGTAGACCTTCCAAATCCTTCTTCAGTAGGTTCATTCTGCTCTGGCATGCCATATCAAATCAGTTCTGTATGAACTCTCTCCATCAGGACATAATGTTCATCTTCAAGATATTGTGTAGGGTGTGGTCCAGTTGTTTAAACCCTAATCTCTCAAATTCCCCACAGATTGCTAGAAATCTCTCTATATAATTTCTTTCTGAGCCAGTGAACTGTAGTGTCATTCTCACTAACTCTGTAAGTAGGCTTTCCCACTGTATCTCAGATCTCTCTTGGAAGACTGTTCTTACAGCTTTCCAGAGTTTGTAAGCACTAAGACTATCTGATTCCTTGAAGTATTCTCTGGCTTGTGCAGATATTGTGCTGTTGATTAGACTGTATAGCCAATTGTTCTGAATATTCCAGTATTATGAAATCTTCAAGCACTCTGACCATGGTGAAGTCTCTTGCCTTTCCAGAATAATTCTCTAAACACCTACTTGACAGACTATCTTTAGAGTGGCTTTGCTCCATGCTAGATAGTTGCTGGCTCCAGCCAGGGTTATAGACTTCTTCACTGTCTTCATGATCTTTGTGAATTGGGTGATTGCTCTGCCAATTCACATATTTGTGTCTATAAGATTGCTGACATATTCTTCTAGTTCCTCATCAGAATCTATTTCTTGATCCTCTTCTTCTTCTTGTTGAGCTTCATGCTCTAGGTTCTCCTGCATTGTTGCAGGTGCATTTGTGGTACTTGCTTGACCTGATAGAAGGTTCACTTGCTATGCCAGCTGTTGTACTGTCTTCTGTTGCCTTGGCATTGACTTCTGTTATCTTTGCATCATCTTCTGTTGATTCAGCATCATTCTGCACAACATT